GCTGCTCCACCCGGGAGCCCAGGTGCCCGGCCGTCCCGGACACGGCCCTCCCCACTCACCGCACCCCACTCACGTGCTCCAGCCGCGAGCCGGCAGGCAGGGCACGGGGTCACGGCTGGCTGACTGTTCAAAGTGGGGAGGGACCAAATACCTAAACCTGGAAGGCTCGAAGTAGTATGGGGGGCTTTGTCAAGTGTAAAATAAATATTAAAAAGAAAGGAAATGTTGAACCGTATGTATTAGCAAATGTCACCTAGCAAATAGAATGTTTCCTGGGTTACTTACTGATTTGAAAACAAAGGATCTACCTAAGTAGTAGAATATAAAAATACACTAATGTTTTATAGATTCTGGGAAAAAGGATTTTCAGCAGAATACAAACGTAAAGCTTTCCTGAGCTTGTTTGTAGTGTTTTAGTGTGCCATAACAGACTGTCCTGTTTTCAAGAATAGAAGCAATCACTGAGCAAGGAAGCATTAGCCCCCAAGATGAATGTAATTATGTACTATAAACATATGATAAAAGAAAGTATAATTTAAGATTATAATTTTTCTTTTTTGGTTTTTTGAGACAGGGTCTCAACTGTATAGTTGAGACTGACCTGGAACTCACTATGTAGCCCAGGCTGGTCTCAAACTCACAGCTATCCTCCTGCCTCAGCCTCCCAAGTGCTGGGATTAAAGGTGTGTGCCACCATGCTCAGCTTTATAATTTTTTGTTTTTTGTGAGACAGGGTCTCACTCTGTAGCTCAGGCTGGCCTCAACTTACAGTGATCCTCTTGCCTCTGCCTCCCAAGTGCTGGGATTACAGGAGTGAGCCACCATGCCTAGCTAGCATAGTTTATAATTTTTTTTTTTTGAGACATGGTCTCACTATGTAGCCCAGGCTGGCCTTGAACTCACTATGTAGCCCACATTAGCTTAAAACCTGGTGACCCTCCTGCCTCAGCCTCCCAAGTGCTGCAATTACAGATTATAATAGTCTAGCTTTAATAAAAATCCCCTAAATAGTGAAAAAAGGGTAAAGATACACTTGATAACTTTAGGCTTATACACAGATTTCCTCAGCCAGAACTGAGGAAAAATTTGTATTGCTAAGAAAAAGAAAATTTTCAAGACAGTCATCTATTAATCTTTCACTTCTGCAGGCTGCCTTTATTGCCTACATTTAAAATACCAATAAAAATATACAATATTTTATTCATTTGTGACTTTATTTCTGTAAATAGAAACTACAGGTAATTTTTCATCTAAAAACTGTAACTAGATTTCCTTTGAAGTGTACCACATTAGTAGTGTAAGGCTACCTCTGGTTCTTTTCCTTAACATCATTTATTCAGGTCGTCACTAAAAACAGAACTTGAAATCTATTTAGCTGACCCACTTAAAGTTGATGTGTTTTATTCCTGTCATCGTTTTTCTTTTTCAGATCAGTTTTTGAAGTGAACTAATGGGGTGGGAGTTCTCCTTCTGTCTGGAGATGCAGGCTTCTCACCAGGTCCAACATGCCAGTGCACTTCTGTGCAGGTGGCTCGTTTGGTTTTCATTCTGCTTTGTTTGTATTATGATAACGGATTCAGCCTTAGTGAGCAAACTTTCCCAGTGTATTTACAGATTGGCTTTGGGCTTGAAATACAGAGACACTGAGCCTTCCATGGAATGCTGTATTACCGAATGTAGTTGGAAGCAACAGATCCAAGGAAAGCCCCGAGGAGAAGTTAGGTAGGCAGTGCCCTCTGGGCCCTGTGTACACCCCACATGTACTTGTACTTTCACCGTGTCCTGCCTGAGAGAATTCACTGAGACGAGCAGGTGCGAGGCAGCGATGACATCAGTGGCCCCTGCGTCCCGGCAGGTGCAGCTTTATGGCGCTTGGGGTTGGGAGTGGTGTGAGAGCATCCTGGGCCCCAGGATGCCGATGAGCAGAGATCCATTTGGGGCTGTGAACAGGATGGCTAAAAACGCCACTGTCATCACGTCCTTCGAGTATGACTCCAAGTGGGGGGCCGTGAGCCGTGCTGTCTCCAGAGCCAAGGGACCCAGGACAGCCTGTGTTTAGGACAGGGAGTAAAGGGAGATGCTAATCAGAGCTAAGGTGCAATCAAGTAAATGATCCTGTTGAAAGAAACAGTCTAGGACTAAACTGTCAGACGAAGACGAAAGATGCTGAGCAGCTGCTCACCAATTCTGTCTCCTCCCAGAAGACAGGCCTGGAGGAATGGACTGGTCATGGTACAGGGTCGGGCCGCTTTGTACACGGTACCTGCAGGCAGGGCCTGCCTGGCTCTGGCCTCTGAGTTCCAAGTGAACCCTGCGGGGCACCACAGGCTGCTGCCAAGGCCCTGCACAACCCGAGGGTTCCTGGGGACACAAGGCTTTGCTGCTCAGCTCACTGTTCTTGTGTGTGTGTGATACAGCACCAAGCACAAGAGGATTGGAATCCAGCAAACTGAGTTTGAATTCTGTTTTGCCACAGCGAGGTGAATGATCACTTAAAGGTGACTAACACTTACTTTCTTGTATTTATTAATTTATTGGTGTTGGGGATCAACTTGGGACCTTGTACTTGTAAGGCAGGTGGTAGCACCACTGAGCTAACCCCTCAGCCCTATATTTATTTATTTATTTTTGTTTTTTTGAGTCAGGGTCTCACTATGTAGTTGAGACTGACCTGGAACTCACTATATAGCCCAGACTGGTCTCGAACTCACAGCGATCCTCCTGCCTCAGCCTCCTGAGTGCTGGGATTACAGGTGTGTACCACCATGCCCGGCTGCTATTATATTTATTTTTTAATGACATGAAACAAATTTCTTACTAATTCTATTTCTTCGTATTAACTAATCTAGGCAAAAAATTGCCTTAAAATTTTTAGAGATGAAATACAAATTACAGTTGCAAAGTACAGCAGCAACAGCATGTGTTAACATTCTGTCACTGTGATAAAATACCTGAGAAATAACATGAATGAGAGACCTGGAGGGAAAGTGGCTGGGGACAAGATAGAGTCCCCAAGCCGGGCATGGTGGTGCACGCCTGTCATCCCAGCACTCAGGAGGCTGAGGCAGGAGGATCACCTTGTGAGTTCAAGACCAGCCTGGGCTACATAGTGAGTTCCAGGTCAGTCTCAACTACATAATGAGACCCTGTCTCAAAAAAAAACAAACAAAAACAAAAACAAACAAAACAAAACAAAAAAGATAGAGTCCCCAAGGTCAGAGCCTTGTCATCCACTCCAGTTAGGCCCAACCTCCTCAGGGTCCACTGTTTCCCAATCATGCCACTGCGTCATAAGCCCCACAGTGACTTATTATACTGATGGGCTTCGACCCCAACTCAGGAGCCTGGCTTCTGAATGCATGAGCCTTCGGGGACCTTTCAGATTCAGACCACAGCAGCCTGGTGATAGAAATACCACCTCTGATATGGGACACTAAGGCAAGAGAACCCCTCAACTTAATGTCACTTCCACAGCCCAAGTCAATCACTACAGACATGGCAACTTGCTTTTTACAGAACATACAAGTTGGCCAGAGTACCGGGTGCTAGGGCAAAAAGAAACCAAACAGAGAACAAACTCTAAAGAACCTTACAATTTAGAAAAGGTTTTAAACACGAAAGTGTAAAAAACTACTCTTCCGGGGTGATGATGGTGAAATGGTGACACTGATAATATCTATGCAGTTATACGGCACTTGGCACAGATACCTTTCTCCAAGCTTTACATTTAGTAACTCACTTAACCCTGTTGGCAAACCCACTCTGAGATTTAGTGTTATTTCTTTAGCAGGATCCAACCAGGAAACTCATCTGGACATTTTTGTGCTAAATTCTTTACCCTCTTGCTATCTCCCCTTTGCCTATTCTAATGGTTACTGGTATTTCTAAACAGAGGAGTTAAGAGAAAGGACGGAGTCTGGCCCATTCTACTTCCGGAGCAGAGAATGGAGGGAGTGGATAAAGAAAAACATTTTTTCAATTTAAAATATTTGTTGACTCCATTCATAGGAGGGACACTGTAGTCTCTTGTGTTGTTTCACTTGACCGCATAAATAATTAATTTTGGGCTGTAATCCCAGCTCAGTGGTAGTTTACCTAGCATACACAAGGTCCCGATTTAACTCTCCAGCACTGAAAGGAAAAAGGAAACGAAGAAAGCCTCTGTCAGTCCCTGGAACTAGCTTGGTACTCTCTTCACTGACAACAGCACAGCCTGGGCCCGGCAAAGCAGCAGGCAGAACGGGATAATATCGTGGGACCCTGGTGAGTGCGTGGTCTATTTCCTGTTTCTTTTTTTCTGCTTAGGGAGGTCTGGATAATAAAACAAAACTGCAAGTGTAGGTTGGAAGGAGGGAGAATAGCACATATTCCCTCTGTAGATTTATTATTCCCTGCAGCAGAACTTAAAAACAAAAAGTTACGTGGGCTGGGGATTTAGCTCAGTGGTTCTGCTGCCTGCCTCATAAGCGCAAGGACCTGAGTTTGATCCTCTGTACCAAAAATAAAGAAATAAATGAATAAAAAGAAAAGTAATGATTTATATTCACTCAAAGGTAAGATGAAATAACAACCCAGCGAACTGAGCTCCCCCACGAGCCAGCAGTTGTGCTAAGCTCTTCACGTGCTGATTTCATTTAATCCCCGCCCCGCCGTGCTGCAGTAGATGCAGTTACAGACCTTGCTGTAAAATGAGAAAAGGAAGGCTCTGAGAGATGAAGAAGCAAGCTGCCTCAGGTGGGACGCAAATGACATGGTTCTCAAAACAGCGAGACCCTATTAGTTTGCTTGCTTGCTTTGTTTTTGCAGTGTTGGGGATCAAACTCAGGACCTTGTGCTTGTGAAGCAGGCATAGTGCCACTGAGCTACACCCACGGCCCATCAGTTTGCTTTCTTAACCATGATAATGGAGAATGTGGTTGCAGGGAAACTTGTAAGATTCTGTTTCGCAGTGTGATGAAGAAAAAAATTCCAGGAAATGAAGCTGTGGTGCTGCCAGGTTGAACAGTCAGTAGCAGTATCTTTCAGTGGGAGAAGAGTCTCACTGGCAAGGACGAAACGACAGCTCCCTGTTCACCCACCCATTCACTTTTGTAGGCTTGCAGTGCCTATTCACCTCCTGCCTGCCACGCACTGTGTTAATGCTAGGGAATAGTAATGACACAAAAACAAAACAACAAAAAACACCGTGTCCCTGTTTTTCCTATATAGTATTTTGGGGGATTTGGTCACTAATCAGTCATAAAAATAAATGTATACAGCCAGGCATAGTGGCACAGGCCTGTAATCCCAGCACTCAGGAGGCTGAGGCAGGAGATCACTGTGAGTTTGAGGCCAACTTGGGCTGCATAGTGAGCTTGAGGCCAGTCTGAGCTACATACTGAGGCTCTGTCTCCAAGAAAAACAAAGGTATAATAAAAGGCATTTACATATTCATGTGGTGGAGTGAGTGGAAATGGACAGCTTAAAAAATACATGTTGCAGGCTGGGGATGCAGCTCAGTGGTACCGCGCCTGCCTCACATGTACAAGGTCCTCAGTTTGATCACCGGTGCCAAAACAAAAAGTGTCTCTACTTTAAAATCCTAACAGTTGGCTCTATAATGTGTACTGAAATAAAAAGTTCCATTTTCCAGATATATTATTATATTATCATTTATATTTTAGGAAAATAGACACAATATTTTCATTCAAGAAGTACACTTTTGATTTTCAGAATAAACACTTTTAAAATTGTAAAGTAAATTAAGCAAGCATTTTGTGACTGGAGTAATATTTTTCACTAAGAATTTTTTTAAAAGTCGCCTAACTAAAAATATTATAATAATTTAATGTATTTTACCTGCACTGTAGCTTTGGGCATCCATGATAAGGCGATGAAAATTTTCTCCTTAAAATTAAAACCAGCGAAACACATCATTGCAAATGTGCTTAAAATTCGGACACATACTGCCAAACACAGGGTAGTGATACAAGTGCCTACAACAGATCAAAATAAATGTAAGCAACAAAGCATTTAGGAAGAAGCCGTTCTTTATGCTTAGAGATATGATTTTTTTAAAACAATGCAAAGCATTTTAAGGCTGTTGCCTCTGTTTTTAAAGTAAACATAACTGGTAAAGGATACGAATATGACTGAGGCTGGCCCATAAGGTGCCAAAGATGACTTGTGGGACTGCTGTGGAGCATGACAGAGATGACAGACGCTCACTTCTGAACTGGTGAGTTTGGAATCCAATTTACTCAATTCTTTTTTCTTTTGGCACCGGGGATCAAACTCAGGACCTTGCACTTGTAAAGCAGGCGTGGTGCCATTGAGCTACATCCCTGGCCCCAAATCTACTCAATTCTGAGCTGTCAGACTTTTGGAGAAACACTTAAAGGAAAGCAATAGAAAGCATCTGATGCTATCTAGTATTTCCCCTCAGAAAAGAATCTTAATTTATCTCCTCAGATCACTCAGGGAAGATATTCACGGCTATCTCCAGTCAAACAATCAAGTAAACAAACACAGGAAGAGCAGAGTGCTTTAATGTGGAGTTTTTGAAGAAGGTTCTTATAGCTACTTATATACTGTAAATAAAAATAATAGGCATTCATAGTTTTCCTAAATACTTTTGAATCTTATACCTTCTGTACTCTTAATTATTCTTACCAATAGCATTTGTTTTAAGAGATGAAACAGATACTTCTGATCCAACTAAACCGAAAAGAAGAGGTTCAAAAATATTCCATGTATTTAAAATAAGTTTTTGGACTCTAGTCTGAGGAAAACAGAAACATATTTATAGTTACTGTGCCTACATAAAGAGAAGTGCATTTCAAAAATTTAAAGTCATGTTTAATATTTTATAAACAAGATTTATTTCTGAGAAAATTAATAAACTTAATAAAAATTGAGGTTAACCTTTTATTCAAACATTTATGTAGAATTGGATTAAAAGAAACTCACAAAGCTATTAACAAAATACTATTATTAGGTCATAATGTCACAGAACATGAGAGGTCTTTGGCGTTCCAGCAGCATCAGTAGGAGTTCCATTATGTTTGTGAGGTAACTGAACAGAGATGGAATCACGGGAATCACGTCCTGCTTCCTAAGAACACACAGGTCAGGCACACACTGGGCTCCTGGAAGGCAGCTGGGAAAAAGCTCCACACTAAATTATCCAGGAACCCAGTGCCAGGAAAGCAAACCCTGAAACGTCACAGGTTACTATGAAAACAACAACAACAACATTCTGGTAGTCTGTTGGGCCTGCTTTCCAAAGGACTAAGGTTGATTACTTTAAATTATTTTTCCTTGAGTCTGAACTAAAAATTGTACATTAGATTCTTCTGTGGTTGCCTGCTGAGCCCCCCTTCCTGGGAATGCGTCCCTCTCCGTGTCACTTTACAGTTCAAAGGGAAATGACAGGAAAAACCCCTCTGGCGTAACAGTACTCTGGCTTTTCTCCAGGAATTTGCACAGAGATTTTAGTCTCTGTCTGGGCTTGTCGTTCATTACACACACATTAAAAACTTTGGTGTCCACTGCTTGAGGCATAAACTGCCTTCATAATTATTCCCTTTATGACTGGATTTTCTGATTGCCATTTTGAAAAGTTTTAAAAGGGGCAAAAGGAAAACAATATTATTGCTTCTTTATAGCATATTGTCCTCTTTGTTTTGATCTTTAAAACCCACTTATTATTTCTCATACTAGTTTTTATTTCATTTTTAATTGAATTTAGTGACTTATTAACCATTTAATGAGTTTCATAATCATGATTACATTGAAATACTAAACAAAATGCTAATGAGTTTTGGGTAGGGAATTTCTCAAGCAGATTCTAAAATTAATCTAAGAAAGAATATGGACCAAGAAGTAAAATGAGGGGGCAGCTTCTACTGGAGTTTTAGATACAAAACTGTACTGATTTAAAACAGTAGTATTGGCATAGAAATGGAAGGTAAGTAAAATTAATAGGATAAGAAGAATATATAGGAATCTATATGTGTAAGAATTTAGCTTATGTTAAAAGTATCCAAAATAACTATAATATGCAATATATATATAATAAATATATAAAATATAAATAATCTGCTGAAAATTATTGAGCTTATATGGAGGTATATATGAACATACATCATCTACTTAAGTGCATATGTATGAATACACATATACGTGTGCATATACCCTTACTTCACAACATTCAGAGAAATTCCAAATGAGTTTAGTTTAGAACTAAACGCCAAAACAATATAATTAAAAACTACTAAAGTGACTATATCCTGGAATATCCTTCAAAACCAACAGAGAAATAAAAACATTCCATGACAAAAAGAATCTAAAGAGACTCATGACTAAGCCAGCATTGGAGAAAATACTTGAGGGAATTCTAAACAGAGAGAGTGAGGCTAACAGCAGCAAAAAGGCTGAAGGAGAGGATATATCTAACTGGCAGGGTAAATGAAAGTAAAATAGAAAGGAATCAGCACTGAAAAAAATAATATGATAGGAACCAGCAAATACCTTTCCATAATATACATTGACTCAACTTCCCAATCAAAAGACACAGATGAGCAGATTAGGTAAAAACCCAAACCCAACTACAATACACGGCACCTACAAGAGAAACTACCTTATCCACAAAGAAAGGGTGGAAAACAATATCCTATGCAACTAGCCCAGAAGCAGGCAGAAGTAGCTGCTACCTTAATCTCAAAGCGAACTTCATACCACAATTGGCGAGAAGAAACAAAGAAAGTTACTATGTAATGGTAAAGGGAACAATTCAACAGGAAGTGATGACAATTACAAATATATATGCACTGTGGGCTGGGGATGTAGCCCTAATGCACTGCACCTGCCTGGCAAGCATGAGGTCCTGGGGGGAAAAAAAAATATATATGCACTGAATATCAGTGCACCAGATTTCATAAAACACAAAAATCACCTGACATAAAATGACAGCTAGGCACCAATTTAAACATAGGGGGAGACTTTAATATCCGACTCTCACAAATAGGTCAACCAAACAAAAATTCAACAAAGAAATACCCGAGTAGAACCATACCACTGAACAAATGGGAACTGTCTACAGTGTCTCATCCAACGTCAGAATGCACATTCTCGACAAGGTATGGAACCGTCTCCATAGTACGTCATATCTTATGCCACAGAGCACATCGGAATAAAAAAATGATACACTTTTTTTGTGGTACTGGAGGCTGAATAAAAAAAATGAACTGCAATAATCTGCATTCTGTCAGATCACAAAGGAAGCTAACTAGAAATGAAAAGAGACCACAGACTCTGTGGAAACACGTGGAGGGTAGATTACATACAATGGATAAATCAATGATCAAAGAAGAAATCAGGCAAGAAATTAAAACGTTCTTAGAATCAAATGACAATGGCAATACAACGTACCAAAACCTGTGGGACACAATGAAAGCAGTTCTAGGAGCCATGAACAGCCACGAACGCATACACTAGAAAAACAGAGAGTAATCCCAAATAAATAACTGAATGATGCATCTCAAGGTCCTAGAAAAACAAGAGCAATCCAAACCCACAATATGTAGAAGGAAATAAATCATAAAGATTAGAGCTGAAATCAGTGAAATTGAAATCAATGAAATTGAATACCCACACAGGATCAATGAATCAAAGAGTTGATTCTTTGAAAGGATAAATGAGAGCAATATACCCTTAGCCAGCCTTACAAAAGGAAGGAAACAAATGACATGTATTGGGCCGGAGATTTAGTTCTGTGGTTCTGCCACCTGCCTTGCAAACACAAGGACCCCCGAGTTCGATCCCCAGTTCAAAAAAAAAAAAAAAAA